GCGTACCATACAATGGCCCCCAGGACACCGTCCATAAGTGAAATAGCATCTCAGACCAAGAGGCCAAGTGTAACAGTCCGAGGTGTTTCCTATAGCCTACTCAGGGCAAAAGCCATAACCACAGGTCAGAGTTAAGCAAGGTCAACAGAGACCAAATTAGGGAGGCCAGAGACTTCCATACCTTGGCAAGAAATAGGTGACTCATTCATGGAAGCAGCAGCCACCAGAGCAGTGGTGGTGGACCTGGGGCATCCAGCCTGCAGCAATCGGTTTGGGTCACTGAAAGCTCTAGAAGATTTGCCATGAAGCACTAGAGCATCCCCGCTGAACTGTTCCCTCCCCGGGGTTTAATGTTGGTGGTATGTGAAATAGCAGTACCTTTTGCACACCAACTCTGGCAGTGCAACATCTGGATATTATACTGCCTGACCAGAACCCGGGAACTCCTAAGGCGGAGGCTACCGGCCTGATGGTTTACCTCCATTAGCACTTCTCCAGTGACTTCAATTCGCCGGACCAAGCTGCGGTTGCTTAATACCGTCTGTATCTATGGCTTTAACAAGCCATTTTCTCTCCATCAGTCCTTCTGTTTAGGGGTTATACGGCAGATGGAAGTGTTATGTTGGGGACCCAATCCTAGACAGCGGGTCTTATGAAGCAAGTGTCATGTGGTGTGAGTATCTATGCATCACATTTAAGTTTCAACACCTTTGATTGTGGCAGTGTAATCAGCTAAGAAAGGCTTCTAAAAGGCCAGTGGACGACTGATTGTTCCACTTGTCATTGTGTCACAGTACACACTGTCCAACTGTCACTGTGAACAACTACCACCCATGGTTCGTGATGGTTATTACCGCCCAAAACACCCACAATCTTGCCTGTTGGCTGCACTGTTTTGTTTCAAACCAGATAGCATCCACAGCACATTGCACTGTAGCCGCAGTCCAGCCACTCGGGTTCCCCCTGCTGGCCAATCTATGTACCAAGCAATTTCAGGTATGAGGGAAACCTTGTGCACTCTGAGATTACAGGCAGGCACTGGTGTGGCTGCCTGGGGGGGGGGGGGGAGACAGTTTCACAGTTAACCCAGCCCAACACTCTTTGTAGACTGCAAGTTAATAAACTACAGGAGAAGATATCACACTGTTGTAAAATATGTGAGCCACTTATGTAGAGTAGGGCTTTGCACTACGGTGCACACAGATTGGGGAAGAAGTATGATCCCCCACCTCCTTACAGGCAGGCTAGACCAATAAAATCGTGGTCGCTGGCTCGACCTGTACCAGGACATTGTCCTCTCCTAGAATCTGCTGTTCTACAGGGATTAATCTAGTTTCAATTCCCTTCCAAAACTGTGACCAAAACTCAGAGACTTTTATCTTTGTCATTCTTGCCAGAAAGCCCAACTCACACCATCTGCTACACTCTTGACATCTAATTGCTTTGGCATGCCTCATAGAGAGGTGCCCACAGCCTTTCCTTAAGCTGTCAAAATCTGCCTTTTCAAATGTGTTCTGCTAAGGAGCTGTCAGTGTCTCCTGACTCCCCTCTTAATCAGCAGACATAGAAGACACAAACTAGACAAGGAACACAACGGGGCCAGTAACTCAGGAGCCCCCCCAGAAAGCCTATACCTGCTTTTCTGCACAGGAACAGGAAAGGTTCGCACTTTAGCACTCATTACACCTGCAGTCCAATAGGTCTTACCCGAGCAGACCACTCTGAGGGACTTCATGGTGGTCAGGGCCCAATCCTTGGAGTTGACAGCCATCTCCTGTCGTCTAAGGGAGAATAATCTTCACCAGTCAGATTGCTATCATCAGTATAATGAACTCAGATGAACAGTGAGGTCCTGAGCTCCGTAAGGACTGTGTAGATACCTGAGGACCATCCTCCCTCTCCCCTCTCAGGTGAAGACAGACTGGCTCTGCAAGTGTGCTGTGAGAAACGGTAGAAAGGCATTAGCTAAGTTCAAGCAGCAGCAGAGTGCAGGGAGGATCTGATGTTTTCCAGTACCCCTGAGTAATGTTAGCACCACAGCATGAGTAGCAGGTATCATTTTATTTAGCTCCCCAGAGCTAGCAGTCAATTCTGTAAGCTCCATTTGGCGGGACAAGTTACTGAAGTGTTACGGAAAGGGATAGGTTATTGAAGGCACTGCGGGCAGATAGCACAATCACAATCTGCTCCAATTCTTTTTTGGACTCTTTGCTCTCCGCACGCACATCTGACAGGTATCTATTACCCGCCTAGGGGCAGGCAGGCTAATGGGGTCCCAATTTGCTTCCCCACTTAACACTGCCTTTGCTATCTGAACTTTGGGTTGAAATTCCCCCAGAGAGCTACAATTTTCCTAACAGAATACCCACCCCCAGACTGTTTAAAGGCACTGGGAGGGTAATAACAAATAAACCGTTGGAATTCCCTTAGTTCTTAGATGTAACAAGGCCTGTTTCTCCAATGGTCTTACCCTTATATCCACAGTGACTGCCCAGGGCCCCAGAGAACGTTCTGGGCTGCCATCAGTCAGTGTACATTTGGCATCTCTCTCCACCACAACAATCATCTTCCCTTTGTTCTTGGAAAAACCTTGAGTTCCACATGAGGCCTCTCCTTGCCCCTATGGGGTCTCCATCCCACCTTCCCAAGAGGGAAGACTGCATTAGGCTGCTTATCTTTTCTCTGAGGATGACACACAGAATGAGCCAAGTGATACCACATCTGCTTTCTTGGTAGCTTAGCTGGCTCTCATTTCTCTTATCTTTTTTCTCTTTTTCTGTCAGGCTTTGTGACAAGGTACACCTTGTTCTGACCACAGTCCTTCCTAGCCTTGCACACATTATTAAAAATCCTGCCTGACAATCAAGCTGAAAATAAACAGAAAGAGGCTCACACAATTCTCTGACATCTTATGACAGCTTATTTTTCATTTTGGCCATAAAATTGCTTTATCTAGTCCTTGAAACACCCTGGCATAAATGGCTTGTTGAATGCCCAACCCCCACAGAATGCTGAGGGTGTAAATGGAAAGATCCCCTCAGCTGGCCACACTTCCTATCCAACCTATAAGGGAAGGTTTCTTTGTATCTGCAGGCCTTACGTAGACACTGCCTAAGGGCTGGAGAGGTAGCAATCCTATTTTCTCAGCTCTTTCCATGCCACAGAAATGCCACCCCTTTCCACGGCCCAGTCACCCTCTAAGTTAGACTCTCATAGAATATTTGTTTTACAGTTTTTCATTGGTTTGGTGGCACAAGCCTGTAAACTCAGCACTCAGGGTCTCACTCTGTAGACCAAACTGGCCTTGCACTCACTCTGTACCCGCCCTAGGCAAGCTGAGAACTCATGATTCTCCTGCCTTAGTTACCTACCCTCAAACAATGAAAGGAAGGAGGGAGGGAACGGAGGGGAAAGAAAAGAAAAAGAGAGGTTGCAGTATTCAGCAGCGCAGCAGTGACAATGTGGCTTCTGCAGTAGGACGGCTCCCTCTTGTGCCTTTGAATACTCTGCCTTTGACTTGTATTGCATTAACAGCCAAGTGGAAATGCAACCCGCACAGGCAGCAGGGCTGGGGGAGAGGAGAAGGGTTCCAATCTCCATTCTTCCCTAGGATTCCAGTTCTTTGCATCCCATCCTAATCTTAAATCATAGCTGACACTTGATTTCTCTTCCAGGTCTTTTCTTGTAGGTTTCTAAGCTTAGTGTCTCGGTTTTTCCATTTTCTCAACCAATTCAGTTATACATAATCTGTAAACTGAAACGCTTTCTCTAGTATCTTTAATGCTCTTGTTGCAGCCTGATGGGAATGAACTGCCCAAAACAGTGGCCATCTCACTGTAGCAACAGTCCCCCAGTGGCACAGTGGCATTCAGTCAACAGCTGCTCCAACCCAGCAAGTTTAGGATACATCCATAATCACTGGTGACTCAAAGGATGTAATGCAGGCACCCTCCCAGATGTGGTGGGCGGCTAATTCAAGAATGTCTGCTAATGCTTCTTCCCCTGGGCCACTGCCTTATTCCCCTGGCTGGCTCAGTAATGGTTTTGGTGGATGGGAACTAGCCCCAAAATGTATGCCACTGAAGCAAGAGGCAGGTAGATCCAGAACTGCAGAGTATCATGTATTAGGGATACACGAATAGAAGCATGGTCCAGATAGTAGCCAGACCAAGTGGTCAAGGCAAAAGTGACTTTATTTGGGCCAGAAGGTACCTGGTCCAGGTAAAGCCAATGTCCAAGTCATACACATTCTGGAACTAGGCACCAGGGTGTGGATATGAAGTTCCACCACCAGTATACTGGTCTCAACTACATATAGAAGTCTGGGAAACCATGCAGGGAAAACCAACCAGGGATATTCAGAGGCAATCACAGTGGTTAGAACTAAAGATGGCTATAGTCTTGGTTAGTCTTCCCTCAATGTTGAGACAATAGCTAACACCCCAAATTAGGGAAGGAACAGTTTATTAGCTCCTAGTTCGTGGAGGTTTCAGTCTGTAATCATCTGGCTGCAAGGCAGGATGAGGGGCAACAGTTTAAGTCAGAACACAGCAAAAGCAGCAAAAGCGGTGGTTGGACGAGGGGACAAGCCTCTTTTCCTCCCTTATATTGTAAGCGGGCTACCCTCCCCTGAGCGTAGCACTCAGACCATCTCCATGCCCCCCTCCTACACCAGCTCTGGGTGTTTACTAAGTGAGGCCTCTGACCCCTGCTGAGTCACTCAGTTAAACCTTTCAAACTGACACAATGAACAACCTAGAGGGCAGGGGCATGTCCTCTACACACTAGGTTGTACAACTGCTGAGTTACTTGGTTAAGCTTCCAGACTTCTCAACTGACACACGTATCAACCATTACAAGCTACAGTCAGGTGAGGCTGAATCTGAACCCCGTTCTATTGCTGGGGAACTGACAATGGCAAAATGTATCATGAATTAGTGACCCAAATGTTCCGGATTTAAAGCTTTGGATTTCTGTTTTTCATAGAGAATTAGACCAAATACATGTTTCTGATATTTTATTCCGCCTAGTAAACAATCCACTTATTCCTAAAGCAGAGGACATGCAATTTACAATGGACAGATCTTTGTCTTGAATTGTTTCATGGACAATGGTCTTTACCAGGACAAAGACAGTAACTCCCAAGCAATGAGTGATGCCTAGTTGAGATGCGTGGAACCGTGTAAGTGCTTTAGATTTGCTCATTTCCTTACATTTTCAACTGTTAGCCATAAGCCATCTTTATGCACACCCCCAAACCCCAAACTTTGACCCACCTTAGTTCTGTCCTTCCAAATATACAGAAGCTCCCCCGAACTCCTTTCCTATTTAAATGTCTAAGGGCATTGAATACATATGGGAAAAGGATGTCTGTGCTCAAATGTTTGTAGGCCGAAAAATATCCTCTACTGTATAGTGTATTCCTTTAAACAAAGGGTATCTAAGTGATGGTGACATGCCAGATGGTGACGCAGCTGAGGCAAGATAGTTATATCCAGGTCCCCAAATGGCCTTCAGGACTGCTAACAGAGCCTTCTGACTGGGATGCACGTACCTTCTATGGGGAGGCTGCCAACTCCACCGCTGTGCTGCAGTGATCCCTTTCTTCTGCGGTAACTTTTTTCTTTATCAGCCACCTGGATCCTAGTTCTGGCAGCCTTCTTTCATCTTCTCCTGATCTTTGCTAACCCAAATATTACCTCAAATAATTTTTTCTTCTTCCCTTCCTCACCACTCAGAAAATTTCCTTCTTTCAAATTTCTTCAAGATTACTATTCCATCTGTCCCCTGCTCACCCTGCTTCACAATAAAATTTGGTGGAAGTCCACTTGCACATATGATTAGCTAGCTCACACTCCAAAAGTCGCTGGTTATATTTTTAAGGCATTCCTAGAACAGTCTCACCCACCCAGTCACCAAGCTTTAATCAGCAAGCACTGAAAAGTAGTCCTCTTTCAGGAAATCTGTATCTTGCTCTTATGAACCTACAAAGGCAATGCAGTGTAGCACCCAGCAGCACAAGGCTCTGACAGCAATCTACCAGAGTTTAAATCCAGGGTGTAACACTACATAATCTTTGAAGTTACTGAAGCTCCTTGTTCCAATTCTCACTGTAAAATGTATTTTCCTCATAACAGTGGCAAATATTAATCAAATGCATGTGTAAAGCACCTTAATGCCTAGTAGTTACTCCTAAAATGCTTTCATTTATTATTACTTATTTTGCAGGTAAGGACAATTCTATGATCACATAGTAGTGGTGCTAAGACCAAGGTTCCCCAGGTTTCCTAAATGGAAACTCCACATCACTACCCAATTACTGTCCTGTTCGTAATATACAATCATAAATAAAACTAAACAGCAGTGCAGCAAGCTAAAGAGTGACATGGGAAGTACTTTGTGTGATACCAAGTAATAGAAGCTGTATTTACAGGTACCTAATCACACAATGTAGATGGCTCAGAAACAGCAGTACTAGTGATTCAACTACTAATCTTTACATAAAGCAAAATGGTTTGAAGTGACTTGCAGTTTTAAAATATAAATTTACACTAATTAAAGTTCTCTTGTTGTTATAAAAGAACTATGCTATTGAACTAAAAATCATGTGACTCTTCATTTAACATTTAAACTGTTACCATATTCCCAAAATAATACATTACTTCTCTTTATAACAAATTTGTACATATGATTAGTCATACTGACACAGGAACGATGCCTAAACAAAACTAAAAGATTTAAAAAATACTTTCTATAAACAATCTGAAAAGGCAACAGAGCTCAATAAATAGTACATTCTCAAACAGTATGCTCTCAACATTATATACTCAGTGATTTCCATAATATGTTAAAAATGAGGAAATGGACAAGGGAATGAGATGTTCACATAAGCAAAATAATTTCATGATTTGCTTCATTTTGACTCTATTATGTTCTTGTTTTCAGGAGAAAAGTTCTTGACTTCAAAAGTAACAAAATACTTGAGAAGGGAATTTACATCTTCCAGTTTTAAATGGTATTCTTGTGCTATTTTCTCAGCAGTCCACGTTTCTGGATAAAGTTTATGATTATTGAGAAGTGTCACAGCCTCTACAATGGAAATTTTGCCCATGGGAATGTTCTTAATGTCCATGCCGAAGTGATGGCCTTTTGGTAGTCTGAATTCCTTTGGCTCTTGCTGTGTTGCAGCATCTTTTACCTAATATCAAAAAAAAAAAAGACTTTTAGGATAAGACTTGGCATCTTTTTACTTTGAAAAAACTTGTATTTGCACACCTGTGCAGAACCTACTGATTACATTTTTATGGGGAGCTGGCACATGTCTACCCCACATCTTAATTCTCTCTCCTGCCGCTCCTCTCCAGCCTCTCCATTCCTAGACCCCTCTCCCACTTGCAAAAAAGCTACCTCCCTCATGTCTGTCATCTATCCTTTATTTTGTCCTTTAAGTTATTTATACTTTGGGTTTCTGTTTTCACATTTCTCAAATCAAATCTACACTATTTCTCTTCCAAAAATTATAGCACACGGTTCCCAAAACTGTGTTTTCCCATTACAATGAGCTACAGTTTGGCAACACTTTTTCCATATTCTCTTTCCATTATTCTAATTCTACCATCACTAGGCAATTTAGGTAGTTCTGGAAAAATAAATACCATCTTAATAAATACCATTCACATTATTTCACACATAGACTGACTATTGCTAATATACAAATCTGAAATCCAAAATGCTCTAAAATTTTGAGTGCCAACATGACACTCTTAAGTAGAAAATTCCACACCTACTCCCTATGACAATCACAGTCATAAAGCAGGCATACCAAAAATACTGTATAGAATTACCCTTAAGTTATAGTAAGCATATAAGTTGCATATGAAACAAATGAATTTTGTGTCCTATCCTCCAAAATACATCATTATGCATATGCAACTGAAATAAGCCTGACCTCAAACATTTTAGACAAGGTAAACTCAAACAATACACTGAAAGAACAACAAGAATGCTTAGGTTAAAAACTGCACTTGCTTTAGAAAGGCAGAATTCTGAAGCTGTCCCAGTAGCTTACTTGATCTACTCCATTCTGTCTGAATGCATTTCATATTCAATGCCCCAAACTCCTTGAATACATTCAAATACTGCTAGGGATCTCGTTTCTTCTGAGAAAACAAACTTAGTCTCCCTCTAATGTAATTTACACACACTCTCCCCCGCCCCCGTCTCTCTGACTCACACTCCATCTCTGCATCTGTGCTCCCTGTTCCACTCCTATTACCCAGCCACTCCAATCAGGTTCCTGTTCTTTCGCTTTCACTGTACCTGGTATACTACTGCTTCTTGGAAAACACTACTACATTTTTAAAACCCCAAACTCACTCCTTTGTTTATAAGGAGTTTTTCTCCCTTAGGTTAAGGTTTAAAAGACAATATTCGTCACAGTTAATGACTTCCCAGTTGCTTAATTCAGAGGCATTTTCAGACCTTATGACTCACTACAGCATCTAGTACATCTGATATTGCGGACCACAACAATTTGGAACCTGTAACTAACTTCCCTTTGGTTTCCATAATGTACCTCTTAATTTTCCATCTGTTCTTTAGTGCTTCTTCCATTTTTTGAGTGTGATTAACTCAATCAAAAGATGTTACTTCCACTTCAATTAACCTATAAATTCTAAATCAATTACACACAAAACTCAAACAGGGCTTTGCTACTCCTTAAATTGTAATATGCTGAAATTCTGGCCAGATTAGGGTTTTACAGTTTATTTTCAATTGTATTATTTTGTATAACATATCAGAAATAATCCTGGAAATATTACTCAGTATTAGCTTAAAAATATGACACACAATGCTCTCAGTCTTCCTGTGTCATTAAGCAAAAATGCCTGACATACTGGACAGAATTTTGAACAGCAGTAAGTCAAAAAGTCAGAAAGCACATCATTCACTATATGACAGGGACATTACCACCCATGTCTAAAGACATCACAAATCATTAAGAAAACTATGAACTGCTCAAAACAAAAACGGGGCAAAGAACTTGGGCAATTCAGTTTTTCATTAGCACCAAGGAGTCATTTTAGACTTTCTAATGCTTCCTGTGCAATTTTGATACCACTGTACACTTCTTTATATACTATATGTATGTGTGTTTTATATATTGAAAGTTTATTTTTTCACTCCCCAAGAGCCAATTTTCAATTGTATTATTTCGTATAACATATCAGAAACAATACTGGAAATATTACTCAGTATTAGCTTAAAAATAATTTTTACAAATGTACATCAATCCCTGTACTTTTTATGATAACTGAACCATTCCAATTACCAATCGTCTTATGTTTGTTTTTTATGGTGCTGTGGATCGAACCCTTGATCTTGTGCATTCAAGGCAAAAACTATACTACTGAGTCACATCCCCAGCCCCTATCTTCTTTGCTTCTATGAAAATTGTATTAATAATTATGTGCATACAACTTATGCCTATGCATAGCTAGTACCAAAAAACTTTAGAATGGAAAAAAAAATATGGAAGTTGTCAGCACTTCCTTTTCCTTTACTCAAACTGTTCATCTTACCTAGAACCACCCCTCTACAAACTTCGATCCATCTTTCAGTGTCACTTATAGATGACAGAAGGTATCTGTCATCCTCCAATTTCAAACAGGCCCTTTTGATACATTCTTACACTGCTTATAATTATTTGTGTATGACTGTTCATCTATTTAATTATTGTGTCCCACATATCACAAGCCTCGTGGGAATTAAGCTCTAAGATTGTTTTTCATCACTATAACAAAGCATTTGTAGATGGTACTTAATTACATAAGGACTTGCATATATTATGTGGATGAACACAAATATTATATGGATTACTATTGCTCATGTATTCTTTGATGCTCCTAATTTTACATATCCTATCTGAATACACCTTAATAAACTAGTTATTTGCATCCCACAAACCCAACACTAGCAGAGTCTTTAAGATCAAACTATATTTCAATACACAGAATTTTAAAAATTATACTTAAGTCTACCTTACTTAATCCTACAAATTCTGAAATAATACCAATAACCTACATAGATGTATTCAAGCAGTACTTCCATATACCTTTAGAATTTTAGTAAATACCCAACAATCAAGGCTGGTGTCCTGTCTGGACCACTATGCTTAAACTTTTGCCAAAGCATTGAACTCTGGCCATAACTACTCCAACATTTTTACACTTGCAAAGAATTCACTTTTACCACTTGCCATATTTCTCTTAATCATTTCCCCAGTGCCCCAAAATAAGCTATTTATTTACTTAAAAACCCATTACCACCTGGGATGATACAGGATCTTTGGAATCAACATATACATCTTTTAGTAAAGACAGCAGCTTTTCATTTTTCCTCGCAATTTCTCTCTCAATTTCTGCATGGTCTAAGGACAAAAAAACAAAGCAAAAAAAACAAGTCACAATATTAAAAAAGGAAAAATTTCCCCTAAGTTCCTGCACACTTAACACAAAGGCCACTTTCTTTTAAATAATCCTCAGGACAGCTCGGAAAGCACTTTAGATATCCTTCTCCGAAGACTCCTGAGAAAACTTGGGCTGCACACGAGCTGATTATCTTAACCCGTTCCAATCTTCTCGCCACGTATTAAGTGCAACAGCAGGAGCAGCGGAGCAGCAGGAGCGAGGCGCGGGCGCCCACCTTCCGCGGCGCTGCAAAGGACGACCTCAATGTCACTGGTTTAGCGCTCCCGCCCGGTCTCCGGGCCGAGACCGAGGTCGCCCCGCCCTGCGCCCCTCGCCAGCGGCTCCTTGCACAGCTCACCGCTCTTTTGCTCCCGCAGGACGCTCTGGGTGGACGGGTGCCTCGGGGCCATGGACGGCTTCACCTTGCTGATTTCCCGCTCCGCTCGGTTCTCTAAGTTGAAATTCCTCACCGCCCGACTCACCCGAGCTCCCATACTCCCTACAACATGATGCACCCAGATTCCCGACGCACGTGGGTGACCTTTGGGCGCACCCGCACCGCTGCGGTCAAGCGGGGCCGCGCGCTGGAAAACAGTGGCGAAATGTGCGCGCGTTGCCCCCTGCCGGCCAGGAGGCCATATAGCGCGTCCCTGCCCTTCATTACCGAGGCGCGCTTCCTTCCGGGGCCGAGCACGCTCTGCCGTAGGGGCGGGCTCTAGTGGGAGAGGCGGGGCCGGGGCCTCGGGCGGGCCGCAGTTCTGTGCGCTGCCCAACCAGGAGTCGTGGTTGGCTCGGAGGCGTGTCCACGTCCGGCCCCGCCCCGCTCCCCGGGAGCGAAGCTGGAGGGGTACAGCTGCTGGGCTACAGGTTGCTGAGGACGCCTCGCAGCGACGGGGCACGTTGATGTCCAAGTCGGCTCGCAGGTCATTGCCGAAGATCAGACAAGCGTCTAAAATTCCCCTTTCCTGCTCTTGTGAAAGGAAGATGAGGGAAGGATGAACATTCTCGATGAATATTTGTTCTCAGTCGCTTTGTTTCTATGCCCCTTGTTTTCTTGAGTTCTTGTCTGATGTATTTCTCAGCCACCTTTTTCTCTTTTCCCATTTTCTTATATTTTCCTTTTCCAACTTATTTAACCGAATTGTATTCATTTTAGTTACACTTCCCTGCCACCTCTCTGTTTTTATTACTAATGTGATTTACTTCTGTATACTGTTGAGCACCAAGTCATCCTGTTTGGCTTTCTCCTATGGTCTTTTTTTAATTTGTAAACTTGAAAGGTAGTTTAACTGACTGACAGAAAGTCAGTACATTCTGGAAAAAGCACATCTTACTCGTTCTCTGCCCTTCTCCCTGGCCTCCACCTCTTCTCTCCATTTCTGATGGTTTCTTTGATGCTTAAACTTCTTTATAGAAATCCTGTGACCAATACAGAATAAAAGAAACCCACCCGGACTGACTTTTCCACAAAGTCTGCTTTTAGTTGTTCTCGGCTCTGCTTAGTAAACTAAAATACACTGGTTGTTTTTCACTGGTTTATAGTGAAAAAGAAATCAATATACAGATCAAATTGAAATTTAAAAATTGAGGCAAAGGGACGGGTTTTAGAAAAGTCGAGTTGTTAAATGTAACGCTGAATCATAGCGGAAGCAAGGAATATAGTTTTCGCTACTGATTATCATGGCATGTTTTTACAAGGTTTGGTGTTTGAAAATTCTGTTCGTTCTCTGACGGAGTTAATTTGGAAGTTATCCTGAAGGTGGCAGGCTGCTCCAGGATATCCGTTTTCTAGACAAGCATGGATGTCCATGAAGTTTCCTCAATGTCTCTTATGCACTCTGACAATTATGGTAGCAATTCATTCACAGCCTGTTACAATATTTTAAAAGTGGTGATTTTGTTTTCTTAGAAATCCCACCAAACTTCAAACTGCATAAAAACAGTATTGGAAGTTACACTGCGTAAGTGATCACAAAATGAAGGAATTCTTTAAATTCCCATGTTTAGCAGGGAGGTTGAATTTTGCATCCTTAAAGAATCATCTAAATGTGAGCCAGCTGCTTCACCCGGCTCCGGTCCGGTGCTACTCTAACCATGTGGTATTCTGTCTCTCAAGGAGCAAAATAGAAGGCAGATGTGTGTCACCAATGTACATTTCAGTTCACCCTTTGAGAATCATCATAGAAATAAAATCTGAACCATAAATGCACAATTAACAAGAAGTCTATACTTAAACCCTTGGACTTAGGTGAAAGGGCTGAAATACCTGGATTCCTCCAGGAAGTATAACTAGACTGATGCTCAAAATTAAGTTTCCACCAGATTAACTTGCACAAAGTTGACTTCTGGCAGCAGCTTGTTCAGGCAGACACAACCTGCCGAAGGCCTGCGTTCAGCTTGGGGATCCTACTTGTCTTTCTGTTCATTTGACATTTATTCAGTACCTACTGTGTATTACAGTATGCTAGATACAACTGGAAACAAAACAGATAAAAATCCCTGTTCTTAATAAATTCGTATTCTATTCTGTTGGCAAGACCCTGGGTTCCTTTCATTAATATCTTAAGATACTCATTCCACTCAGATAAAAGCTTAATTGATTGTCTAGTTGTTGGTCTGTTTGTTTGTTTTAAGATAAGGTCTCTCTTGTAGCCCAGGCAGGCCTCAAACTCACAGGAGTCCTTCTGCCAGGGTTGCAGGTGTTTGCCACCATGCCCTGCTTAGCTCATGTCATTTGTGCTACTTTCCATTTTCTAAACAACTAAAACTGTGCTGAGGGCCAGGGATACAGCTTAGTGGTACAGAGCCTATCTGGAAAACATGAGGTCCTGAGTCTTATTCCCAATATTAAAAAAAAGTGGGGCGAAAAAAGGCAAGAAAACAAAAACTATGCCAAAACCCTGTAGATGAATGAAAGAGATAAAATAACTGAATGACTAAAAATAGACTCTTCCAAGATTTTATAAACATAGAAATATTCTAAATTCAATTTTTGATGGCCGATTAGCATTCCTGGCAGTAATGGATTCCTTGAGGTTGGTGTGTGGATGAGAATCACTTGCCTAGACTCTGACCATTGGATGCTCCTTCCTTCAGTAGCATTCTGTGTCTTCAGTGGATTGCAGATGCTAAACCTAGGAGACAGGTGACTGAAGGAGCCCAGGGCAGACTCCAGAGGTTCACTAACCAAGTCCCAAACCTCTAGGAATAGCACAACAGGATTATGGAGGAATGACAGCCTGCAGAGGTACAGGTGTTCACAGAGACAGAGACATCCTCTGAATAAGACCTCTGGGCCAGGACTTCAGTGCAGGAGAAGAGTCCAATTTATGCAATTTACAAGGTTCCCAAGCTTTCATAGTGATGTTTGTGAAACCTAGGAGGAGGTTGGGGCCGAACAAATGTGGCCTTATACAAATCTAATGCTCAAACAGAGAAACACTAGATCTCATAAAATTACCAAGCAGTATTTATGCTCAGAAGTCTGTTTTGTGTTAGTTTCCCATTGCTGCTAATAACTTGCATAACACAATCTATTATCTCTCAGTTCCAGAGGTAAAAATTACCATAGGTCTGGAGAGGATAAAATCAAGGTGTCAGCAGACTTGTCTTCCTCCCAGAAGCTCTAGGGAAAATCTCTTTGCTTGCTTTTCTGTTTCTAGAAGCTTCCTGTACATCTTGGTAGCCAAAACTTACATCATTGTGTTGTCTCATATCCTCCTCTATGATTAACTTGCCTCCCTCTTTCTCTTTTAATGCAAATTACATTGTACCTATGTGGATAATCCAGGATAACATCTTCATCTCAGTATCCCTTATCAAATGTATAAAGAACCCTTTGCCGGGTATGGGCGCATGCACAGGTTAGGGGGTTAAGAGATGAACATGCCTGGGAAGCCACTGTTCTACCAGCCATCACTGGAGGATATCCAGATCTGCCAGAATCCCTGACCAAATCAGTGAAGTACAAAGATGGAGTCTTGGAGAGAATGCCTGGTACACTTCATTCAGCCCCACAGAGCTAATGTTACAGTGAAGCCATGTGATCACTGAAAGAATAAAACTGACTTAATTTACCACCACGTTAGTTCTGAACACTGCACGGAGATCTAGTTCTTACAGCCCAAATCTCTCAGATCCTCTGGAGAATTTGCATCTGTCAATCAGCAAGCGTATGAAACTCCCTGTATGTAAAACAGTGTTAATAATTATGGGATCTTAGAGACTCCAGGAGTCTATTGCTCTCCATTATTTTTCTCACAGCTTCCCCGTCTTTCCTTTTTCTTTGCATTCCTTTTCCTCCTTTTCTTTCCTGGCATCCACTTGTGGAATGTGGGCAGTCCTGGAGAAGCCATTTGGGAGGGAGTTTATCAATTTTCTGGACTAGAAAAAGACAGCTATATAAAAAAGAGGAGAGAGGAAATAGAGCAACAGCTGCTGGAAAAAATGGGAGATGGAAACGGAAAGGAACAAGAGAGCTGAACTGTGGCTGTGCAAATCCACATCCCACCACAGAGCTGAGGCTCTACACTCAGCTCCTGTTCTTGAAGCTTCTTTCACCAACTGGTTTCTTCAAACTATTTAGAAGTTCTTTGAAAAAATATTTATCAATCCACTACCAGAGGAAAATACATGGTGTCTGCGTATGCGCATTAAATATATTCATTAGGAAACCGGAAAGAAGGAAATTAAGTAAGTTTGAAGTAAACATTGAAGTCAAAACACAAGAAAGAGAATATTGACACAACTCCAAAAACTGTAAAGGGCTGAAGAGAATGAAGCAGTTAATTATATAGAAAACAAATCCAGTTGATTGAGACTATAACATCCATCATCATTACGGAATCAGTAAGAGACCGTGGAATTTTTTAGAAAAAATATATGAACACAAAATTAGTGAAATATTTTAAAGTTAAATAAAACATATATGCAACTTCCTATACCACTAAAATGTATAGTCTTTTCTTGTGTGACTTGCTTTTATAGAACAGAATGTGATAAATATGAACAGAACAGAATAGGGCATTGATACAGAGGACAGACTAGAACAAGACCATCCTGTGTTTACCTACATTGTGAAAAACTTCACTTAGGAGACAGGAATGTGAGATTCTCATGCTGGTCTTCAAGAAGCAAGCTGCCATGTTGCTAAGCATCTTGCCATGTTGCTAACCTATAAAGAAGTCACATGCAAACAATTTCTAGTGACTTTAGGAAGTAACAGGAACCCATAAGGGACAGCCAGCAAGAAACAGGTATCACAGTACTATGACCATAAGGAACTAAATTTTGCCAAGAACCCTGAGAGCCTACACACTCCTGAAATTAGTGTAGCCCTGTTAATACTATATAGTCATTTCAAATGACTCCCAGTATAGTGTATGTTTTGTTTAACCAAATTCAACCTATTATCACTAATAAATTTAGCCAGCTGGGAAGTAAAGGAAACTTTTTTTACTTGATAAAGGTTATAATTTAATTTACAAAATAACATTTGATTATTATATCGAGTAATGGAACATTATCACAAGCCCAATAAACCCAATATCCTCCATAATTGGTTATATTCAAGATTGAAGGTCCTAGCTAATAAACAAGGAAAATAAGAATTATAAATATTATATTACTTGTTCATTTGCAAAATCAGTGCATCTATCTCTGTAAACTAATGAAAGGATCATTCAAAAAACTGTTAGATGTAATAAATGAATTCAGTAACACAGCCAAATAGCTAGCTGCCCCTTATCGAAGTTGTATAATATAATGGCCAAAAATATCATTGATGATAGCACAAAAACTACTACACATCTAGAAGTAAATTTTCTAAAAAGTGCAAAGCTCAAACCATAAAATCTATGAAAGAACATAAAGAAACACACATATGGCTAGACATAGTGAGTTCCTTGTGATATAAAGTTTCAATAGTGTAAAAAAATGTCAGTTTTTTCCAGGAATTAATCCATATATTCTATACACTTAAAAGAAAATTAGGTTGAAACTAAAATTCATCTGAGAGAAAAGATTTTTTAAATAACCAATAAATTTTCTAAAAATTACTAAAAACTTGTAAGGCATTAGAAGATAATGTAAAGCTTCATAGCATGTTACTGATAGTTAGACAGAACAGACTAAAATAGGGCCCAGATAAGTCACTAGGTATAACAGCAACAAGACCAATTAAATATATACAAGATAATGATTAAAATGGCCCAATGGAGTGGGCATAGTGATGGATGTCTGTAATCCCAGCACTTGGGAAACTGAGGCAGAAAACCTGAGTTACTTAGCCTGACTTCTCGGAAAACAAACAAACAAACAAACTAAAACTATTTCATAGGGATCTAAAATAGTTTTCTATAAATGGCCCGCTGCATTTCCAGTATTTAACATGTTCCTTTACTTCCCATTCCTTTTGTAACTGGGCTATATTCTTTCTCATTCCAGTTTTCCCTGCATTGGACAGTTTTCATAATATATCTGTCCCTCCACATTCTTATAGACTTGCTTTTTATAGAACTAAAAGGTGTCTTATCATAGTGATTTTGGTCTGATTCAATGAAGTAATTTTAGCCCTCTGGAGCTATTTAATCAATACCATAATTCCTCTTTTTCTTGACTATAGAAACTATCATTGAAAATTTGACTAGTGGGAAAAAATGTGAAAAAATATATAAAACAAACAAAACCCAAGAATTAATTTTCATTTGAAAGATTAGAAAACTAGGGAATGTGAAACAGGGGATTCCAGAAGGCCTTCAGAAACATCGGAAAAGCCAAGTTGCAACAAGAGCTATTTATCTCGGCGGATGCACCCACCTCAGAAACTCCGGAGCTAGGGCGGTCTGCCTACCTGCAGGGCTGTTACTCTCCCTGTTTCCTTAGCAGCCATGGTCTGAATATTACAGTCATCACAAACAGAATGGCCCCAGAGAGACCTACACCCAACTGTTGGTTTTCACACTTCCTGACTACATGATTTTGCAGTAATCTCTTAGGAGACAAGGGCAGCTCTGGGGATCTCAGCAACAGGAAAGGACTCAAATCTGGCTGGCTTCTGCTGCTAGATTTTTTTTTTTAAATCTGGCCCAAAATTAAATTCCCAAGCAAGATAAATACTAATTGATGTGGCTTAGGTCATGGGTATATCCTTTGGTAGAAATGGAAAATTAGCTGTCTCTACCAAAACTGCATAGAGGTGAGGACAATACAGACAGAGATGGCACACCGTGAAAATGTTCCTGTCAACTGCTGAAATTAACTGCAACAGCTGTGCCCTATGATTTCATGTGTGTGATGAAGACTTATTTTTGGACCTCTGTTTCTGGCTTTATTGGCTTAGTTTTTAGATTCAACAGTGTTGTATAAGTGGTCTTGATTTTAGTTCTGGGCTATGCTTTGCAACCCATCTTATCTCACTGTTTTAGAGAAAACAAATCTGCTGCCCTGATCATGTTGTGCTGGGTCACTGTGTAACTGAGGCCGCCCTATGATGAACAAGCCAGGCAGAAACACACCCAGGAGGGACAGGGGTGTCTTAACTACCCATATTTAGGGATAGGCTTAGCATTAGAATCCAGTGCTCTTTCCTACCGTGGTAGTTGTTTTTCCATCCTGCTATGGTAATTGTTTTTAGTCTAGTATTTGGGAAGTAACTAATAAACAACAGACAGAATTAGTGACGGGATACTAGCACACGCAGAAGAGTTGGGAAGTGTGTGTTTTTTGTGTTCAAAAATTATGATTTGGATGCATTAAAGACTGAAAAATAAAATGTCAATAGTGATGGTCTGCTGGAATTGCAGAATTAAGATATTTAAGAGTTTTCAAGTGGAAGACTTTAACTTTACGTTTTTCCACAAATGACAGGCAGGAAAGAAGAACTAGCAGAAAGAGGATGAGAAATATGTACCAGGTCTTCATAGACAAGCTATACTTTGTTTGGGTATGAGCCAGTATCCTTAACTGGAGCTCTACTCTAACATGCCACTTCTAGTTCTGTGGCAGCAGACTCTCACCCTGGGAATGAAGTCTATATTTTGAACAAAGAAATAATTTACCTATGTGCCTATACCATTTTCACTATTGATTTTCCCACTATGTTCTGTGCACCTTACCACGGTCTCCTTCATTTAGAACCACGGAATGACAACTGAGAAGCCTCACTCCCAGGACCTCACTATTGCAATTCTTCCCTGCTAAGTGAAGGAAAGGAGAATCATCCAACAGAAAATAATGCAAGAAATAGCCACAATCTACCTTGCTCTAACTGAATCAGAGAGATTACTCAAAGGAGAAATACCCAAAGATGCGTTTATATGATAGAGTGGAACACTGATTTCTTTATTCGTAAGACTGAATATTTACACTGTTTTAGATAAGTATTTTTTATGAGCAGTCTAACTTGTGTTATTTATTTCCACTTATTCGCGCTCCATTTCTAAGTACATTGGAAGACCTATGGGGCTGCAGCATAATCACTTGTCTCTATATTTCTATAGCACTTTATATGGTGAATTGCAAAGAGTACATGATTAAAACATGTTACTGATAATAAAATGCAAGTTTATAATTTTTGTTTATTTTTAAAATCAACTGCAGCCTAATGGAAGTTACTGATTTACTCCTCAATTTTTGCTGCAGATAATCCCTTAAGCCTTTTAGGTAAATCCTCAGTATTAATGGAAATATGATTTTAATCTGGATTATCATGAGGCAATTAGCTTTGACACACAGTTTGTTGATAAAATCACAGAACCATAAAACTAGAAAGAGACTCAAGCAGATGCTGTCCTGGATAAATAATTGTTGGTTTTACTGTAAATACTACTAGTTACTAAAACTATTAATTCTAGGTGAATGTGTATTATAAAATGAATTAGCGAACTGATAAATAATATCATGAGATGAAGCTATATTTTAAATCTTTTCCAAGCTTATGCTTTGTGTATCAAGTGCTTGGGCATTCCGCATTCATTTTTGAGGGCAGCTGTGACCAACTACCATAAACTTAGTGATTTAAACAACAGAAATTTATTGTCTTACCATTCTAGAGGGGAGGCTTCGGAGATCAGAGTGTCAGAAGGCTGCTTCCACCGAAGGCTTGAGGGAGAAACTGCTCCATGCCTGTCTCAAGACAGTTTGCTTAGGCTTTCAGTCTGCTATAACAAAACACCATGGCTTGGTGGTATATAAATAGTGAAATTTTATTTTTCAGTTCTAAAGAGTTAAAGTGTAAGATCAAGATGTCAGCATAATCCAGTTCTAGTGAGGGCCTTCTTTCTGTGTTGCAGACTGCCAGCTTCTTATATTCTTACATGATAGAGAGAGGAAGAGTTCTCTGCTGTTCCTTTCATGAGGGCACAGATCCATTCACAAAGACTCCACCTTCATGATTTAATTACCTCTCAAGTATTCTACCTTCCAATGCCATCACATTGGAGGTTGGAATTTCAACATGATTTGGCAGGAACACATTCAGTCCATAACACTGCATCTTACCTAGTTTTTTGGCATTTGCCGGCAATCTTTGATGTTCCTTGGTTTTTGGAATCACCTTTCCTTTGTCTTCATCTTCACCTACAGTTCTCCTTGTGCACATGCTTATTTTACCTTTTCAAAGAATACTAGTCATACTTATTCCAGAGCCTCTTACTCTAGTATGACCTCATCCAAACCAACTAAATAAATAACTAACTAAATAAGTAAATAAATAATAGGGTCTAGAATGACCCTATTTCCAAATACATGCACATTTCAGAGTCCTAACTGGGGGTTAGGATTTGAACATATGGATTTTTGAGCATATTTTTTAACTTCCACAGAGCAGGAAAAATGACTAAGGTAACCTGATAAACATTCACTGGGCCCCATTCTGCTGGATGACATTACAATCCCTTAAAGCCAGATGCAGACCTAGACCTGCTCTCACTGTCACTCCTTGTCCGCAGACCTGGAGAAGCCTGGTCATGACTGACAAAGAAAGCAGGCCTCAGTCAATTCAGTGCTCAGCCAAGAAGCAGCTGGGCAATTTCCCTTCACAATGCACCCATTTCCTGCAGAGTTATGGAGGGTGTATTACCATCTGTTGTTGGGGCAAAATACCCAACACCCACAGTTTAAAAGAGGACAGTTGGCTTTGGTTTATAGTTTCAGAAGTCTCCAAGTTTTTTTTTTATGGTCAACCAACTTCAAGGCAGAAATATCATGGAGGAAAGGCGTGACAGGGGAAAGCCACTCACCAGATAGCATCCAGGAAGCAGAAATTAAAGGGAGGAGCAGGGATGTGCGTGAGTCCTTCCAGATTGCCCTCAGGGAGGTGTCTTCTGCCCAGGCCCATGATCAGTCACTTTCCAAAAGCCCTATTCTGAATCCATGAGACTTTCAGGGAATATTTTAGGTCTAATCCTGAGAGGACATAGAAAGACAATAGGCAGTTAGGACACGGACCCAAGTGAACTGAGGTCAACCTTGGAAACTGACATGCAAGAGACAAAGGCTTAACAAAATCTATCCCTTCGTATCAGTGACCTTGCACATAGCTTCCATTTTTGTACCCTGCACTACCAGAATCCACTACAAAATTTTAAAAATGGCATCCACTAGTGGCATACAGCCTCATTTCACACTCCCACCACCACCAAATTTCCCATCAAGATCTGCATATAAACCCTTACACTTAGGTGTTTGCAGAGTCCTTCCTTGGAGCCCCTTCCAGTTAGCGAGAGTTTTTTTTTGTTCAGGCTAGTAAACTACACTCAGTTCATTCCTAGTGGTATGGACTTCATCAGAGCTCTCTCATAAGCCTTCACTAAGAGTTAATCTCCTGGTTGGGACTTTTATGTCCGTCCACCAGAAGGGCTGACATTCTCTTCTTCAGATGCATCTTGATAGATTTCCAAGGCTAGGGATGAAAGGGTTTTGGCCCAGACAGGACACTGTAGCCAGGAAAGCCTCAACCGGAAGCAGGAGCCCCTATCTCCCCTGCCCCTAGGAAGTTACCTGTGACGCCATCTTCCTGCCCCTGGAAATTTACATATGGCGCCAAACCTAGGACCAATGGGCTACCTGTGCATCCCTAATGCCTGCCTTAGGTGCCACCCCAAACGGAGGCTATTTACATGCCCCCACGCCACGTGTCTGCCGGAGAGATCGCTGGACGCCAGTGGTGAGGGTGCCGGTCATCTCTCTCCGTGTTCTCAGAATAAAGGCTGCTTTTTATTTTATACTTCTCATCTTTTGGAAATATTTTTCACCTTTTGGAAATAATCCTAGCAAGGGACAACTCAGGACTCTGGACCCTTTGACCCCCAAGGACCACCCATCCAAGCATCCATGGTACTAGGACTTAGCAAATAGTCCCCTGGACTCCCTGAGGAAGATTTCTTATCCAGTCAGCTCTGAACATCAGGATAAAGCTGCAGAGGTTAGCCTTGGGATCAGAGCATCCTCGGGACAATTTGCAGAGACTAACTATCACAATCTTTTCAACCAGGATCAAGAGAAGGTGAACAAGCAGGACCAAAGATATAGGAAGAGGACAGTCTTTTTAGTGGTCACCTTATAAGGTCACTCATCCAGTGGCTCCCTAGAACCTTTCACAGGCAGATACTACAAATCTGAGAACTCAGGACACTTCAAAAAAGAATATAATCACCCTTCCCCCGAAGCTTATCCTGATTGCCAAGGGGACCATTGGAAGGCTGTTATTTCCCAGGGAAAAAGGTTCCAGGAGCCAAACAGGTCTGACATAATGGGCCAGCAGGACTGAAAGGGCCTACGACCTGCCTTTGTGGCTCCTAGGACACTATTGCCCTCCAGGAGGCCTGAATAACCTTAACTGTAGAGGTTTCAGAAGTCAACTTTCTTCTCAACACTGGCACTGCTTTATGTGTCCTTTGTCTGGCTCCCTTTCTCCTGCTATCAAGGCCTTGAGACGGGTATCAGGAAAGACAGTTAGTCATAATTTTCATTTTTTACATTCTCCTTAAATTCCAGCTGGGGAGCTCTTCTACTTACTCATTCTTTTTTGGTTATGCCAGAGAGTTCCCTCTTTTGCTAAGATAAGATCTAGTTTGAATGGAAGCCACTATCCTAATAGCTCCAGGATACATTTTTCTGTTCCTGGAAGAGATTGAGATTAACCTGAAAGTATGAACATCAACAGGAAAAATCACCTGGGTCTTGACTATTCAACTAGACTATTCAAATCCATCTTACAGACTCAGTCTCCTTTCCACTCCACAGAAAATGCACTCTAAGGCCAAAGGCCAGAGAAGGGCTAATAAATACCACCAAAATTTAAATCCCAGAGTCTTCTGATGTCCTGCAGTGTCCTTTGCAATTCCTCGATCTTGAGAGTCCAAAGGACCATTGAAGAGTTGGAGGCTACTACAAGACCTCCAACTTATTAATGGAGCTGTGATTCCCATATATCCTGCAGGTCTTAAACCCTATTCACTACTGGCCCAGATCCTTGGGAGGCCCAAATGGTTGACAGTGTTAGATCTAAAAGGTACCATTTTTGCATTTCTCTACACTCAGACTCCTGGTTCACATTTGCATTCAAGGATCCCTCAGACCTATCCTAGAGAAAATTGGCAGATAGATTTTTACCCACCTTCCTAGAGTAAAGGGGATTCAGTTCCTCCTGGTCTTGGCAGACATTCACTGGGTTGGTAGAGGCATTTACCTGCAAGATTGAAAGATCAGCTGAGGTGGTCCAAGCTCTAATCAAGGGGACCATCCTTTGATTTGGCCTGCCTCAGGGGCTCCAAAGTGACAGTCCCACCCTTCAGTGCCACAGGTACTCAGGGAGTCTCAACAGCCCTAGAAATACAATCCCAACTACACTGTGCTGAAGAGCCCAGTTGGTAAAGAGGGCTGTACTTAAAAATCTGTCTTTGCCATTTAAACCAAGAGACTAGGCTTCCTCAGAACACCTTCATACCCATCCATCTCCTTAGGACAAGGAAACCCCCTCAGCTAGAGGGCCTCAGTCCACTGAGACACAGTTGAGAGATCCTTTCTTATCAGATACTTCTTACTAGATTCAGAGGTAACTGCCCAAATTAAACACATCATTCTTTTGTCTCACTTTTAGAGGCCCTTCATGGGAGCACAGGTTCAGTCCAGAGAGAACAAGACCCCTCTTTTTAACTGAGGGGACCTGGTCTTAGTGAAATCTTTACCTACCTTACCTCTTCCCTGCTCCAGTGTGGGAGGGCCCATAGGGTAATTCTTTCCACCGTGTCAGCAGCTAATGTCTCCGGTAAGATTCCTAGAGCTATCATTCTCACCTGAAGCTGTGATTAGTGGGCCAAGAAAGAGTCACATTGAACCAACAGGAGAGGAACTGCTTGTCAGACACTTCTGTGAACCAGTGGAAGACTTGAAATCACTCTGCAAAAAGACATCATCTCCTTCTCTAAAAGGACTGGCAGGGATGCTCTGACTCATCCCTGTTCCAGCATCTGGGCATCTGATTTTCCTCTGGTGTCTCTTAACCTTCCTGGAGGGTGGAGTCACTTTTGCTGATTAGTAAAATAGGTTTCTTCCCTTTAGTTAGAAAAATTAGCCCCATACTGAGAATAGATGATCCAAAGCTGATCTCAGGGTTTCACTTCTCTCTCCTATTCCCTTTTCCTCCAGTTTACCTTTCACCTCCTCTCTGATCTACAGTGGCAACCCCTCCCCGTCTAGCTCTGCCATACCAATAGACACCTTTGTATTTCTCATACATGAAATATGGTCCAGGGACCTTCTTCATCCACCCAAACCTCCTCCTTTCATCTTCGCATTTACTGTAAACTCACCAACTCCATCTACCATCTCCATGCTGCCTGGGATAGAATACTTTTATCACACGCTCAGTTTTACTCATCACCTGCTTAATCAGTCTAATCCTACATAAGCAAAAAGCTGCTGGCTATGCGTCTTTCTCTACTGCTCAGTCCCACCATGTGATTCATTTGCCAGCCTCCATCCAGCCCCAGATAAAGGCAAATCTGCCACCCACACAGTCAGTTGCAATTCTCAAAGACTGTGCCTGGAGTCCATGACCTTGCTCACAGCTCACCTCTCAGCTTAACAACTTCAAACCTTCTGCCACTCTTTCACAGGATCCCTGTTTATATACAATAATATCCTAATAGCCACCTGTTTCACTTGATCTCTTGAATAGAGACTAAAGGCATCTTCTCCCTCTGTGAGAACTCAGCATATTTTGCCTGCCTATTAACTAGACAGGTACCTACACTTTAGGATATTTGCCTCCCCAAGTAGACCTTCTTGAGGGTTCCCAGCTGATTCCAGTTCTGATCAAAGTGATGAGCACCCAAAATTGAGAAAGGGCAATCCAACTTGTCCTCTGATTCATAGGACTTTGGATAACAGCCAGGCCAGGTATAGGGTGAGCAGGGCTCACCACATCATTTACTTACTTCAAGCAACTCTCTTTTGACCTTGCTGAAAGTTTACAACAGATGGCACAGAGCCTAACAAATAGATTCACTAGCAGCTGTGGCTCTACAAAACCAGAGGGGACTAAACCTCCTGAATACTTTAAAAGGGAAACTATACCAGTTGCTAGAGGAGAAATGTGGCTTTTATGCTAATCAGTCTGGAGTAATAAAAGACACAGTATGATAGCTAGATGACTGTGCCTCTAAGATTCACCAGGAATTATCTGAGTCAGAGGCACTCTGGTCAGGTATCCGGAATTGGGTATCTTGATTGCTTCCCTCAGCAGAGCTATTGCTCATAGCCTTACTGTTTGGGCTATGCATTCACGATTTCAGTCAAATCGGATTCTTCTCATTTGACAGCCTTACAGCTACAAATGATGGTAAAGATGGACCCACCAATTGGCATTTCTCTTGGTTGCTACTTGGGGCCTTAGATAGACCTCATAGGGGTGGACCCTCACTGCCACCTTGCGATTGCCCCCTGTTAGCTGAAAGCAGTCAGAATGACTGGTGACCCTGCATCCCTAGTGGCAGTTAAGTGGCACTTAAGGATTGACTAAGAGCAGAAGATAGAGTTGGCACTTAAGACAAGGTCCTGAATAAACTGAGAGAAGTCCTGGGAAAGTGACATGCAGGAGGCCAAGGCTTGAGTCGGCCCCCTTGATGTCAGAGACCTACTAGTGGTTTCAGCCGCATAATTGCATTTTCATATACAGGTCACCAAAATTGCCTGCCCATGACAAACTGCTTCCTTTCATGTGTCCACCAAAATCGCCCACCAAAATCTGCATACAGAACTTCAGACTTAAGTGCTTCCATGACATCCTCCTTTAGAGCCTCTCCCAGTTAGGGGGAGCTTTTCTTTGTTTATTCTAATAACTTTACTCAGTTTGCTCCCCACTACTGTGTCCATGGACTTCATTCTTCATCATCTCCAAGACAAGAACCCAGAAGGAAGAGAAAATTGGTATCAATCCCAAATAGAGGGAATTCAGACTCTGCAAGTACTAGAGTTTCAGGTCCTAAGCCCCACATTAATCAGTCATACTGCATTGAAGAGGGGAGAGTTTTATTAGGGTATCTTCTACCATTGATGACCAAAGCATGTTTCAGGTTGGTCTTTCTTTCAACTATTAATGAGAGTATACATTCCGAGTTTGGAAGCTGAACAGGCAGACTCAGGTAAGACAACACCAAATGCTGTTCAGTCTTCATTCTGAGCTCTGTGTTGAAATTCACTTTTGTCATTAAAGTTCCTGCATGAGGTTTCTTGGGCACTTGATCAATTGTTAGAAAAGCTGACTTCTTGTTTTCCTGTGGTTCTTATTTTTTTCTTTTATGCAGCCATGATACAGGCAACTTAGTATCACGTTCGTTCAGTCAGCTGGCATCTTCTATTTTTCTTCCACTGTACTTCATTGCTGGAAAGAAGTAAATGCCTCTCTATCACTCAGCCAGATGCCCATCTGTTCACTCAGTGGAGCCATGCTTCCTTCTCTCATCAGCCACGCTGCAGAATTCCTGACCTCCATTGATGGCTTCACGTAGCCTCTTCTCTTCTGTCCATTTGCCATTATTTGGTGGGTACTTCCTACAAGTAGGATTGTTTTACTTTAGATTTCTAGTTACCTTTCAGCTCTAGACACTGCTCTGTCACCATGTTCTGTGCAGCTGTCAGGCTAGCCCTCCATCTCTTTAAGCTGTAGAAGAGGGTGATGAGTACATGCACACTCTGCTTTGGACTTGTATGCTGAGTTCTTTCTGCCAGGAAGAAATGGATGATGGGGAAGCCATACCTACACTCTCCAAAATGATGTTGCCTGGCTTCCCGCACTTTCAGTTCATATGACAAAATGGCAGGTAAAACCACCAAAACACTCTTGCAAAGGGTCATTTGCTACACAACTGTTATCCTCCCATTCTGAGAGATGACATCAGCTGTTTACAATAGTTTCCAACGGTGTTATTAACAATGTAAGTGAAAATTATAGCATCTGGTACCAAGTCTCCTCTTATTTTAAAGTTTTTGGCAATGCCGTGATAGAAAATCTACCAATTTCTTCAATTTACTAAACATCAAAAAATTATCTTTCTGAGAAGGGTGTGTGTGTGTGTGTGTGTGAATAAAAATTGATCACTATCTCTATCAGCCTCATCTTTCTTTTTTTAAAATTCTATTTAAAAGGAAAAAGAGAAAAAACAAAACAAAACAAAGCAGTGTAAGGGTACAAGTAATACAGAACTACAAAAAAAAAAAAAACCCAAAAAAACAAAACAAAACAAAAAAACAGTAAGAAATCACCAGTTAATAGATTACACATTATCGTCTTAGAGATAGTTGCTCAAGTCACAGTATTAAAGCATACAAAGTGAACATTCAAACAGAGAGACTGCAAACAGTTGTGTTCAATGATCCAACCAAAAACATTAATATGGTCAGCCATTTAACACCCCTAAACACACGTGCAGTTGTATCCTTTAGCGCACTGTTTTTCCCTCTCTTTTTTACAACAAAATTTACACATTTTGGGTTTTATTACTCCTTAGTTCTTATTACTTTTTTTTGGAAGAGAATAAAGTCAAATATGGCAAAACAAAGCTATCAGTCAAAACCAAGTATAGACATAGTATATGATGTAAGAACAGAGTACAAGGTTATCAACAATGGTTACTATAATGTCTCTTGTTTCCTTAAAAAGAATTGTCTATCTCATTAGGTATTATAAAGTTGAACTAAACAGTAGAGAACAAGACCAATAAAACTTAAACATTGTAAACATTACAGGACTTCCAAAAGTCTCATCTTTCTTTGACAAGGGTAATATTTTGTGTGACAGGGAGGGAATAGAAGGGAATTCCTGTTATGTTCATAAAAACCATTTATATATTTAAAAATGACATCATTAGATCACTAGACTTATAATCAAAATTCCCTGCCATACAATACTGTGGCTCTTATCCTATGTATCCCCCCATCACACCTAGAAAAGGATGCTTCCAGGCAGTTTCTTTCACACCCCATAGAAAGACAGTCCTGGTACATGATGCTTACAACTCTGCCAGACTGCTACACTTGGCTTTCAAGTCAGAGTCAGAGTCTCTCTACAGTCTTTGTTATTGTTTGTACCAAAATATTCCCCAAAGCCTTTTGGACTTTTTGGAGTGGCTGGATGGTGGGAGTGTGTCCTCGTTTATGTTGGTGGCCCCCAGGCCTCATGCGCTTGCA